GTTTTTAAAGCAATAACATTTTATCAGTATTTTTGCTTTAATTCATATTTTTAAAAGATCTTATAAAATCAACTTTGCAAAAGAAATGTAAACCGTATTAAAACTGCTACTATACATTGTGACTAATTGAGAACCATCTAAATGTCCAATAATATAGATTGGTTAAATCATAATGAATTCATATAATAGTTACCTGTTAAAAATCATGCCGTTTAATAGTATTGTATGACGTGGACCATGTTTACCTACAGGTCAAATTGTCCTATTCTAGTAACTGCTCCTTCCCCTAACCATTTATATTGCAGCTCCCCGGGGTGCTTTACCACACCTATAGGCTTTCTTTAATCCTGCTCACTTTGCAAACAGTTGCTTCATTAAACCCTGTTCAAGCATACCACCTAAGTATGTCTATTTCCCTTCAGGACCCTGGGAAAGTTTATACACAGATTAATCGTGAAATTATACCATTACTCTCTGGTTGGTGAAATTAAGATTAAATTACAAAGAAAATAATGAATGCCCAATTTTTAAGAAGTATTACTATGACATGTGCACTGCAGCTAATAAAAGGTTACATTAACTAAATGTTTTTAGTTGTATGCATATCATCCCATTAATCTTTTAAATACCCCTGTGAGACACAATAGTTATTATGACCCCTAGTTTATACATGAGGACATATTAAATATCTCTAATTATTGTTGAGGTAATATATTGTCATTGTTTTCTTTTGTAGATCATTCACGAGAAGTCCTGGAGCAATTAGTAGGCCCAAACAAACTAAAACAAGTGACGTGGACTGTTTACTGATGCTTATTGAAGCTTATCAAAGCACTGATCTTCACACTACATTCCCAGGGAACGATGCTCTTAGAGACTGGCTTTCCAGTAATGTGGTTTTTGCTTTGAAGTTAACCAGACTCTTAAACATTTTACTAGTGCTGTTATTCTGTGTTTGTTTGAGGAGTCCTTGTTTTTGACTTGGTAAGCCTAGCATGCCCTCTTGTATTTGGGGTGGGGGTGGGGGGAGTATTGTGTTTGTTTCTTAAATAACAAAGTTTTAAGTTACCAGTTTTCCCTGGAGATATCCTTCTCCTACTTTATTTGTCATTATAAGAGAAATTTACCAATATGAATAACCATTAGAATTCTAACTAAAGTATTTCTAAAGGCATAATTACCTTCCTAGCTATTTTCTGGTCCCTTCCTTCCTGAAGTATTTAAATGCTCATTGGCCAGAAGAAAAGCTGAACATCAGACCTGTAAATCTTCCCGGAATTCAATATTTCAACAAAACCAAGAAATACAATAGTTTAATGCCATGAACCCGTGACATCATACACCTCAGCCTTTCCAGTATATAAATGTTACTGAGGCCCTTGCCCAGCCACTTACTTTTTATGGCTACTTTCCCCAAATATATGTTGTGCATCTATGAAATTTCTTCCTCAAAAACTGCATTCAGGAATGTGTAAGAATGAGTAACTACAACATATCACTATAGAGGCTGTTTCATAAAGCTCTGTTGGCTTCAATTGTGAAATAGATAGCACAGGTCTTAGTTTTCAAATGAAATGCATTGCTCTTTTATTATCACAAAGCTCTCTGAAGTATAGTGTTTAAACGACCCCCAAATTCAGAACATTCCCTATGCCATGAGCCTGTCTCAGTATGACTTTCTTAAAGATTTCCTATTTTAACTCTGATGTAGTGCAAAGCAAGGGAAGTACAGTATAGGCAAAATCCTTCTACGTGTTTAGAAAGAGGGTTTATACATTCAACTCTATTTCTTGACCTTACTATTAATTACTTTATAAATGTGGTATATTTACAGTATGGATATATGTATTGCCCCTCAAAGGTGGTATATATGTATATGTGTAAAATGGGTAAAGCCTGTTTTACCCATGAATTTTCTTTTAAGTAGGCTCGATGACCAACATGGGGATTGAACTCCTGACCCTGAGATTAAGACTTACCTCCTCTACGAACTGAGCCAGCCAGGCACCCCTAAAGACAAAGTCAATAAAATTTAATAGTAAACATCAAACAAAGTTAGTGGCTTTATCCTCTTTTGGGGAAACAAATTTTAAGATCTAAAGATTAGCTTTTTAGGGTCTATAAAGGATTATCTTCCTAAAGCACTTTGCAGTTTAATATTCTTGACTTTTTATATTGCTGGTTGTATTAGCTATTTCTATTTGAAATTTCAGTATCCCATGCCTGTCTATATCATCCTCACCTACTACCTTGACCTCTATTTTTCACCTTACCACCTACCACCATCTGACATCTTGTCTATTTTTTCTTATCTTTCTCCCCACCCTAGAATATAAGCTTCATGAAGACAGAAATTTTTGTCTTTTTTCCCCCATTGCTGTATCCCCAGTGCCTAGAACAGTATCTTGTACATAATAAGCATCCAATATTTGTTGAACTGATGGACACAGAAAAAAAACAAAGGACAAAAATAAATAAATTAAAAATAGCATCTGTACTTCCAGTTTCCAGTCTGATGTTATAAAGAGATTGGAAGTCATCACTCCTAACCTCAAAAGATAAAAACTGAACAAACTGAAAGTCATGAACTGCTACAATACTGCTTATACTGTAAGTGGACTCAGACTAGTTGTAAATGTATACTGGGGCAACCACTAAAAACTTTTTTTAATATGTATAATTGATATCCTAAGGGAAGAGAGAATGTGGAATCATATAAAATGCTCAGTTAAAAGCAGAGAAGGCACAGGGCACCTGGGTGTCTCAATAGATTAAGAGCCTGACTTCAGCTCAGGTCATGATCTTGCAGTTTGTGAATTTGAGCCCCACGTCAGGCTTTGTGCTGACAGTTCAGAGACTGGCGCCTGCTTCAGAATCTGTCTCTCCTCCTCTCTCTGCCCCTGCTCTGCTCATACTCCTTCTCTCTCTATCTCTCTCAAAAATAAATAAACATTAAAAAAAATTTTTTAAAGCAGAGAAGGTAGGACAAGAGTAGAAAACCAAAAGGAAACAAGAAACTCAGGCAATAAATAGGAAATAGTTATAAATATGGAAGAAATTAATCCAACTGTATCAATAACCACTTCAAAATGTGAATGGTCCTTTTTTATTTTTTTATTTATATTTTTAATTTACATCCAAGTTAGCATATGAATGGCCCTTTTTTTAATGATTTTTTTTATTTTTTTAAGTAATGTTTACACTCAATATGGGGTGAGATCAAGAGTCCCATGCTCCAATAATTGATTCAGCCAGGCACCCCTAAATGTGAATAGTCTTAATACAAACCTGTTTGTTAAACCATGAGGTCATTCACAGTTCACCATTATATACATGGGAGATTTTAAAGTATCTTAAGTAACATTTGGATGCCTCAAAGACCTTCTTGTGCCCCCCAAATAAATCAAGAGAGGATAACAGAAGCCGGGTTTGTAGATATTTAAGCTTAAATCGTCTCAGGTTAATTTCCACAGTGCTCCACAGTGTAATTTTCTCCAATTTTCTCTTTCTTCTCTTGCTGAGAAGGGCAATAACCAGCAGTATACTCTGAATTTTCAAAGGATATGAAAACAAAACTCTTTCCTCTCAAATATCATCCAGTGCCATTGTAGCCTATGATTTCTATTAATTTTCACCAAGGATGAATAAAAATTTAGAGTTGATAATGTTTGAGACCCAGTAAACCGTTGGGAATTAGATGCACAAGAGCTGCTTCACCAAGCTGGAATAAACTCTGACTTCCAAGTTCGAGAATCCCGAGTTCCTCTGCAGCCCCAGCTCCAAAGTTCCCATCTAAATTATCCTATTTTCCTATCTAAGCAACAACCTGTCCTTAACTGCCGTATGACTATAACCCTGATCACATCTCCCTGGTACCCTAATCCCAGTGGCATGCATGTATTACCAGGAAGCTTACGTATAATGCATATTTTATAAACAATTCCTAAGCAGTGTATAAGAACATGAAAGTACATTAGGGTCACCTGGGTGGCTTAGTCGGTTAAGCATCCGGCTTTCGCTTAGGTCATGATCTCGCGGTTGTGGGTTCGAGCCCCACATCAGGCTCTGTGCTGACTGCCAGTTCAGAGCCTAGAGCCTGTTTCAGAGTCTGTGACTCCCTCTCTCTCTGACCCTACCCTGCTCACGCTCTCTCTCTCTCTCTCTCTCTCCTAGAAATAAATAAAATATTTTAAAAAATTATTAAAAAAAAAAGAACATGAAAGTACATTAGAAAGGTTGCATTTTCTACTTTGCTTATAACACATATAATGCTGGAGTTTAGTTTTAAATTAGAGAACAGAAAAATATAGTACATGGGGGCACCTGGGAGACTCAGTAGGTTTAGCGTCCGACATCAGCTTAAGTCATGATCTCATAGCTTATGCGTTCAAGCCCCACATCGGCTTGCTGCTGTCAGCGTGGAGCCTGCTTCAAATCCTGTCCCCCTCTCTCACTGCCCTTTCCCCACTCACGGTCTCTCTCTCAAAAATAAACATTAAAAAAGGTAAAAAAAAAAAAAAAAAAAAAGGGGGGGTGCACCTGGGTGGCTCAATCGGTTAAGCATCCGACTTCAGCTCAGGTCATGATCTCGTGGTTCATGGGTTCAAGCCCTGCATCAGGTTCTGTGCTGACAGCTCAGAGCCTGGAGGCTGTTTCAGATTCTGTGTCTCCCTCTCTCTCTGCCCCTCCCCCGCTCATGTTCTGTCTCTCTGTCTCAAAAATAAACTATAAAAAATTTTTTTAATAAAAAAAAAAGAAACTTCAGTACATATAATTAATACAAAATTATAAGACCCAAAGGTAACACCTAGATCTCCCTTCCATCCTAGTCTACCAGCTACCTGGTACCCTCCCCAGAAGGCAACCACTGTTACCAGTTACTTATCTTTTCAGGGATAGTCTATGTATGTTGCAAGCAAATACATATTTTATATGTATACATATATGTAAGTATATAGGTATATCTTTTCTACATTAATAGTGGTACACTGTACATATTCTTCACATTCTCATTTATGTCATAGGGTTTTTACTGATATATCAGATCCTGACAACCTGGGACATGTAGCAGCAGCATAATCAATTTCTGGCTAACCTTAGTGAAACATAAAGAGGCATCATAAGGTATCACAGTACAGAGTATGTAGGAAATTTTAAAATCTATATTTTTATCCATGATTGTCCATTGAGGTCCTATTATCTATTAGGCACTTGATGCTTTCATTTAATAGAATAGCCTTTAAGGTGAGGTTTACTAAGTTTTGTTACAATTTTACAGATGAAGAAATTAGAGCTCAGAGAGCTTAACTACCTGAAAATCCCAACTAGAAAGTGACAGACTTGCCTGACTCCAAAGCCCATGTACTCTGTACCATACTAAGAGCATCTTTGATCTTTACAGGTAGTTTATTGGAAATACAGCATTCTTCTATATTTTATATTGTGTTTAATTCAAAGATATATCATATAGTTGTCCTCAACTACATGAACAGACTTTGCTACACTTTCTCATTCCTCTCCACTACTTAAATTACATATCGCTACCATTTTGGTACTGTCTTCTATATTTCTATCCCTACAGCAGTAAAACTAGAAAATTGCAGGTAGAGATTTGTACATTTGGCATAGCGCAGAACTACATGACAAAAGCTGATAAAACTTTAAGTCTTCACATTTTGGAAACAAGACTTGCCATTTAACAGGAACTGCATGCTCTAAATTGGCCATCTTTAGGGTTAAATCCAAACCTAGCTATATTCATACTTAAAAGCACTTGGACAACTCAAGGTTGAAAATCCCATACTGTGCTTGTTGTCAATCCATTGTTTTCCCTCCTGGTAGACTCTGGAAGTGAATATTCTACCACTTTATGCAGCTGGTGTTGAATGCTATGTCCACTGAACTGGGGTCGCCCAGGGTCACCAATCAGTACTCGAGTTCCGTGCGTCCAAAAGCAATTCTTCAGCCATTGATGAAGACCATCTGCAAGGTCTTCATCATAAAACATATCTCCAAGCACAACAAGGTCCCACTTATCTTGTTCCAAATCCAAAATGTTTTTGGTTAAAATGGGAAGAGGATTCAGTTGGTTCAATTCACAATTCAGTGTGATAGCCATTCCTGCAACTTTAAAAAGAACATAATGCATTGGTATATGCTGGGCAGTTTTAATCTCCCATTGATTAACTTAAGTAATTTAGAAAGTCTCCCAAAAATATCTTTCCCTTCTGTTGAAGGTTGTTTTTTGAGGTAAAGAAGTTTATACCAATAAAGCCATTTACTGCAATTTTCAAGTATATGAATGGATATTCTGAAAACAAAACAAACAACACAAAACACCTAAAACTGTGGGGGTTTTAAGGAATATTTGCTAATCTAAAAACCAAGAGGTTTGGCATGTGAGTCCAGCAGACAGAGAAACAGCCTTGGGCTTGAGCAACGTGGCAAGTTAGAACTGAGACTCCTGGGGGCAGCTGGGTGGTTCAGTTGTTTAAGCATCTGACTTCGGCTCAGGTCATGATAGTTCAAGCCCTGCGTCAGGCTCTGTGCCGACACCTCAGAGCCTGGAGCCTGCTTAGAATTCTGTGTCTCCCTCTCTCTCCCCTGCCCCTGCTCATGGTCTGTCTGTCTCTTTCTTTCAAAAATAAATAAAACATTAAAAAAAAAGAACTGAGACCCCTGTATAAAATAGGATCTTCAAGAGCTAGATGCTCAGTAAAATTGAGAACTAAAAGAAACTCAGATAAAATTAAAGCTTACCTGTCTCAACTTGGGTTTTAATGGAATAAAATCTCCCTCAAGAACCCAAGGCCTCTCCTCACTTGGGTTTTAGGCCAAATGCATACAACCTGCATATTTCAGGAAATTTGTAGCCCAGAAATTAACAGTAAGTGCTCCCAGGGTGGTTATCACTTTGGGATATCTGACAGACATAAATACAATCCTCTTGAGAAGAATGCACTTCAGGTCTCACAGGATCCTCACAGATAATATCAATATCCCACCAAACAGAAGTTCACAATATCAGATTACAAAATACACACAGAAATAAGCAATCATGTTGAGGCATCTATAGATCTTTATCCTGGAAGAAAATCAAGATGAGCTTTAAATATTTTAAAATATGAAATCCTTACTAGGGTCTATGTCATTGGCCAAGATCCTTGATGCCCCGCCCATCTCAGCAGCAATAGCTGTAGCTCCACATCCGCTCCCAAGATCCAATACTGACTTTCCTCTGACAACATCCGGATTATCCAAAAGATACCTAAATTAGAAGGAAAGCAAAAAGCACTATCTGCGATGGGAGAATATCAGGAAGAAGCATAAAAGAAAAATCCTTTCTTTCTTAAGCTCTACACCCAACATGGGGCTTCAACTCACACCCTAAGATGAAAAGTCACATCCTCTACAAACTGAGCCAGATAGGCACCCACCAAAAATGTGTTGTTTTAAAGTACTGAGCATTTTACTAGGATCCAGAAACCGTTAAGCACCAAGAATATAAACTGACAAAACACCTACAATTAGGACTCAGTAAGTGAGATCCAAAATTCACAGTCTCCTTCTGGGGCGCCTGGGTGGCTTAGTCGGTTAAGCGTCCGACTTTCGCTTTGGTCATGATCTCGCGGTTCGTGGGTTCGAGCCCGCGTCGGGCTCTGTGCTGACTGCCAGCTCAGAGCCTGGAGCCTATTTCGGAGTCTGTATCTCCCTCTCTCTCTGACCCTCCCCTGCTCACGCTGTCTCACTCTCTCTCCTAGAAATAAATTAAAAAATATATTTAAAAAAAAATTCACAGTCTCCTCTTGATTGTTCATCCTAGAGTGGTTTTACCTACTGCTTACGTTATGTTATAATGACCTCTCTGATAAGGTTCATTCAAAGTCCAGTTCAACCAAAGTATCTGGACCAGGGCTAAATAGTTATCAAACGATGAAGATGGATGAGAAATCTGGAAATAATAAATGTCAACTGACACTTGACCTTACTATTGGAAAGGTAAGAACAGCAGGGACTATGGCAAAGTATGGGTGTACAGGGCCGGTCTAAAAGGGAGAGCTGCTACCCATCTTCAGCTCACTGTTGCCACACAGAAATCCCATGTTATCACATAGTCTTCTTTTTCAAGTCAGAATAGATTTTTACATGAAATTTTCCAAGTTTTAAATGTTAGCAACTGGGGCACCTGGGTGGCTCAGTCGGTTAAACATCCGACTTCCACTCAGGTCATGATCTCATGTTTAGTGGGTTCGAGCCCCACATCAGGCTCTGTGCTGACAGCTAGCTCAAAGCCTGAAGCCTGTTTCAGATTCTGTGTCTTCCTCTCTCACTGACCCTCCCCTGCTCACGCTGTCTCTCTCTCTCTTTCTCTCTCGGAAATAAATAAAACATTTAAAAATTTAATTAAATAAATGTTAGCAACTGATTTTTTGTTTTAAGCTTACAAGTAAAGGCCAAACAAAACACAGCTGTGGGCACACCAACGTGTGACCTCTGATTCAGTCTGTTAAGGAATTCTTATTTGTATTTGAAGTTGATAAACAATCACTTTAATAGACGTCACTTAAAATGTCAATATTTTTAAGGTAGGATGTAAGTGAAGAAAGCTTGAAAATTTGGCAACAACAACCAGAAAATCAGAATTGTTTATTAACACCTAGAAAGCTTTCCAATCTTCATTCTCTGAAAAGCTCTATGTTTACATTTATTTATTTTGCTTTAAAACTGTTGACAACATGAATTCTCTTAGGCCATATGATTTCTGTGAATGAGAAGTCATCCTTTTCATTTCAGAGCTCCATAACCTCAAGGCATAAACAGGTTTAATCATTTACCAATCCAAGAGCAAACACCAGATTGAAATGCTGCAAGTTCTTGCCTTTGTTTCAGCAGCTCTGTTTTAATAAAAAGCATAGTGTGAATGTGTGAGAGAACGTCCTAAAGAACACCTTTGTGGGCACCTCGTTGGCTCAGTCGGTTAAGCCTCTGACTCTAGATTTTGGCTCCAGTCATGATCTCGAGGTTCAGTCATGATCTTGAGATTCGAGAGATGGAGCCCCTGGGCTCGAGCTGACAGCACAGAGCCTGCCTGAGATTCTCCCTCTCCCTCTCTCTCTCTTTCTCTCTCTCTTTCTCATACCCTCCCCTGCTCATACTCTCTCTCAAAATAAATAAATAAACTTAAAAAAAAAAAGCTGATTCAAGTACAGGTTCACCTGAGATGTCAATAAGCCACTACAGACGGGGGAAGCCTTGAGGGGTCCACTCACATCTCTTGTTCTTTGGGAGACTGAGATGACACAATAATGGAGGGAGTGTGAGGCTCGAGCAGCAACATTTATGAAATTGAACTAGGAAAGCTGAAGGACTGGAGCTTTAGGTTCTCTCTAGGAACTCTGCACTGGCCACACATCATGAACTTTGAACCTGAGAACAGTGTGAAATGTCCAGATCACTTATAGCTGGCAATGGTCTTGATGGCTGACCCTGGGGTTTCTCTTGGAGAGAGAACTGTATTTGGGGAAATACCTTGATAAGCCTGGAGTAAACTGTTCCAAATTAAGCAGACAAGAATTTAGGGATCTGCTCTGGGTTTGTTTTTTGGGTTTTTTTTTTTTTTTTTTTTTTTTGTGAGAAGCAAGGAGAATGCAGAAAAAAAGGATCTGTAGAAAACAGAAAGGATCTGAATGGTCCTTAAAGGTTCCCATTTCAGTTAGGGCAGTACCTAGACAGGGCTTGGCCTCCTGGCCAGTAGATTGCCCAGTAAGGATCGCTGTAGGGCCACAGGTCAGCTCTCTGCCACCAGAATTTGCATCTGGGTGTCAAAAGCCGCAGGTGGATTTCAGGAGTGAGGCTGCCACTGTTGGTGACTTCAGTGTTCTCCTCCAGGAAAGCTTTCATCTCAGGATCCAAAATGCTTCCAGCTCCTCTCCAGGGGCAGTGGCCCCAGGGAAACAAGGGAAGACCATTGCTTCTCATAGCTTTCAGAAAGACACCAGAGTGGTTCATGGGAAATGGTGCAAATGTTCTCCAACCCAGGCTCAAGGCCATCAGTCCTTTTCCGAAACACAAGTTCTGTCAGTGATGCTGTTGACAGGAGCTACTGCTCCTCGAGAGGAAGGAAGTGTCTGGCTGCCACGCTGATCTCAACTGGAAATCTGTAGGTCTCTAAAAACAGAATACTGAAAATTCCAAGGCTCACTAACACTTCCAAATCCCATTACGCTGTGAGAAAGTATTATAGTGTAAGCTCTGTAGCAGACGATTCACAAGTGCAAGTCCATTTCCTACGGAAGTGTTCGTGCACCAATTTAGTAAAATATAACTGTTTAAAAGGAAGCCTTTTTGCCACAAAAGCCTTTTAATAATTTAGAACAACAAATACACAAGCATTTGAATCTGAGAGAAATCCCTGGGCATGTGCTTGTTCCATAAAAGAAGGTTTACCTTTGACATTCTTTCACACATTTAATAAATCACTTACCTATAAGCAAGCACCCTGAACAAAATAAAAGTCAGCAGCTTTGGGAAGCTTAGATTCTAGTGAGCGATGCAGAGCTATTACCTGGGCAAACACAGTTCTTGCCTTTATGAAGCCTTGCCAAGAGCTGTGGAGGTTAATGAACTATAACTGCCTGTGGACAGAGATATACAAATCATACTGAATGTAGAAACTAATTTGACAATAAACTATTTGTAAAAAAAAAAAAAAATCATACTGAGTACACTCTCTATTTCAATAAAAATTGTTGTAACATAAAACATCAATGTAATCAAGATTCACACGTTTTCCTTAAAAGAAAACTTTGTCGATTTAATTGTCACAAAAGACTATCAACTCCCAAATATCCTTCTGTAAATATCTCTGATGACTCACCTTTCCCAAGCCTGGGCCAAAAACGCGTGTTCCAACAGAAAAGCATCTTGAATGAGAATAAGAGAGAATAAGGAATGGCAGTTTACACATGAACTATACACCCAGTTATTTGGGACCTCTGGTCTGTTCTGCATAAGTGTTTTAAATAGTCATACATCCATCCACTCCAATATTTAGAGGAGAGGCTCCAAACTCAAATGCCTACCAGGGACCAGACTGGTGATGAGTGATACCTGGTTCTAACAGAAAGACTGTAGAGAACTAAAGATTGTTTCTCAACAGTCCAAAGAGGCCAGCAAACTGCTTCCAGGTAAGAACACCCTGCCATATCTTCTCAAGATAATAATCCAGATATTTACACATAAACTCCCACTTGTAAACGCAAGCAATTAAAATATCCAAACACAGCGCAGGCTAAAATGCCTGTCAGGCCACTTGTGTGACCTTGGGACAGGCTTCCGTGGGTGTTAACCCTCTCCAGATCATGCCCTCAGGATCCCAGGGTCTCTAACAGCCTGACTTCTCACCGGACTAATTAATTCTGTTAGGAAGTATTGGGTCAGCCCTTGAATCACACAGGCCTAAGCTTAAAAATACCACAGAACAGGGGTGCCTGGGGGGCTCAGTCGGTTAAGCCTCTGACTTCGGCTTAGGTCATGAATGATCTCAGGGTTCGTGGGTTCGAGCCCCGCGTGGGGCTCTGTGCTGACAGCCAGCTCAGAGCCTGGAGCCCGCTTCAGATTCTGTGACTCCCTCTCTCTCTGACCCTCCTCTGCTCACGCTGTCTCTCTCTCACTCTCAGAAATAAACATTAAAAAAAAAGAAACCCACAGAACAAATGTGAAATTGATTTTCGTTTGGGACACCATGTCATCTAGACCGACGCTTCCCCCTCCCACTCCAGCACCAATGAAGCATCCGTTAGGATCACGCGATTCCGTAGTGGACACTTGATACACGTATGCATTATTAAAGAAAGAAGGGGGAGGTCAAAAGGGTAAGTCCCAAAAGTATGTGTGACCACGATATTTTCCTCCAAAGAGACCAGGAGTCGGTCTTAAAGGGGCAGGCACAGTCCTCGCCTCCTTACCAGGCTGGGCTAACAGCGCCCAGGGAAGCTAAGCCCCGGCCGCCGCGCATCTCTCCCTGCATTGTTTAGAAGCGCTATTGGCGCCACACTCGGAGGGAGACTCCCAGCTCCGGGTGGTCAGCGGGCCCCGCCCACCTTCCCAGCAGCCTCTCTGCCCTCGCCTACCTTTCTTAAAGGGGCAGGTCTTCCGGAGGAGGCGGCGCTCGACCTCACTCTGGGAACGGGGGACCGCCAAGCTCTGATTTTTACAAAATCCTGTCAAACGGTGGAGCATCTGCTTTGTGCCAGTCACATGTTGGAGAGGAAAGATGTTTCTCTTCCTTTCTTCTACCTTTCAAAGTTTCTTCCAGCTGATCTTAGTTTTAAATTGACATTAAATACATTAACAGAAGAGCAAATTGAATTTTGTACCTATGGGGAATGCCAGGTGTAGAAGTACAAAGACAGGAAGGTAAAATGAGGATATATGTCATCCTGAACTGAGGAGAAGGGAGGTGGAGACTTCAAAGGGGAGGAAAGCAATTCACAGAAGATGAAAAGGAGTAAATGTTTGGTAAACAAATGTACGCTGGGCCATACAGAAACAATGGGACAGAGAGAGGAACTTTAAGACTGCTAAATTCCTCCCTACCAAGCGTAGTTCATATTATACTGTAGTTATCTAACGTGATAGCTCTCATCTGGAGCGGGTCCTCTATTTGAATTCTTTCAGGCAGTTAAGGAAGGTCAAGGTCTTCCTGAGTCTTTTGTACCTACAGGTACATCCTGATCATCTGTCTTCTGTCAGTTGAATATAAAGATCTCATAAGAGGTAGAGGAAAGCTCTTCCTCCCCTACACTAAGAACCAGTTTTCTCATCTGTAGAATAGTGATGATGACAATAATGAATTGGGAGGATTTAACGAGATAAATGTCAAGTGCTTAGCATATAGTAAATGCCTGATAAGTACACTGTAACTGATTATCATTGTTGGAAATATGGAGATAGTGTTGGTAAGGCACAATACTGGAGGCTGAAGATCAGATTTTCAGTTAAGACTGAGAAGATCAGATTGAGTTTCAGAACAGCGTTTTAAGCTGCAGGTGGAACAGAGAAGACAGCACGGAAGACAAGGAGGCCCCTGTTGGAGGATGTAGTGGCAAGCCAAGCAAGCAATAATGAGGACAGAACTAAGGCAGTCGTGCCAAGGATGGAAAGAATTGGACACATCTGAACAGATTCAGGAAAATCTATTAGCAGGACTTGGAGACTAATTAAATATACTTGTTTAACCATAACGATAGAAACAACTCAGGGCAAGAATGTTGGTGTTTCTTTCTCAACTTAACCTGTCCATGCTCTTTATCACCATGCTATTTGATTATGTTCTCCCCTGCTTAAAATCCTCTCTGGCTCCCCAGACCTTCCGTATCAGAGTCAAATTCCTGCTCACAGCTTCCTAGGATCTTAGGGCTCCGTCCCTATCTCTCTATCCTGCCTGGTTTCAAAACCCTCCTTCTCTCTCCTACAGTTTGCTCTCATGCCTCAGGGCCTTGTTCCCTCACCCTAAGCCTTGGTTAAGACAGCCAGCTAGGGCCACCACCACACACCCAGCCATCCTCACTGTCTCTAACCACCTCCTCATCCTTCAGAACTCAGCTCAGGGTCAAGGCCCTCTGAAACGCCTTCCCCAACACGTATACACACTAATCTTGACATTTTCTTAGCTTCTTATGGGTCTGTTTGACAAGAATATCATGCAGAACTGTCTGTCCCTGACTGTCTCCTCTAATTAGACTTAGAGGCAAACCATCTCTTTCCTCTTTTGGCACTTTTCGCACAGTTGAGATACTCTATAAGTTCCCTTAAATGAAAGAAAAAGCAAATAAAGGAGTAAATTAACAAACATTACACATCAGTGTTTCATTTTTCACTTTTAACAGTTTTATTGGGGTATAATTAATATGCAATAAACCTTACATATTTAAAGTGTACAGTCTGATGTTTTGATGTATACACTCATGAAACCATCACCAAAAGCAAGGTAGTGAACATATTCAGTGCTCCTGTGTTCTCTCCCCACCCCCACCCCCCATCCTTGCCCTCCCTTGGCAGCCACTGACCTGCTTTCTGTCGCCATATTAGTTTGCATTTTCTAGATTTTTATATGCAGTATGTACTCTTTTTTGCCTTTACTTTCACTCAACATGATTATTTTGAGATTCATCCATGTTGTTTGAGCATCTTTTCATACACTTATTTGCCATCCATTCATCTTCTATTCAAATTGCCTCATTGTATTTTTTAAAATATGTTTAAAATGTATTTATTTTGAGTGGGGTGGGGGGAAGGGCAGAAAGAGAAGCAGAGAGAGAATCCCAAGTAGGCTCCGCATCGTCAATGCAAAGTCCAACTTGGGGCTTCATCTCATGAACTGTGAGATCATGACCTGAGTCAAAACCAAGAGTCGGATATTTGACTGAGCCACCCAGGTAACCCTGGTGTCTTATTTTAAACTGAAATTGTTGCATTGTTTTTCTGTTCTTACACAATTCAGGTAGACTAAAAATAGGAGCTTTCTATCTTTGTTTTTCCTCAGTGCTGGTAGAACAATAAAGCTAATGGAATTATTTGGAATAATGAGAAAAACATAACTTCTTTTGCAACTTTGAGAGATACTGTTTGTAAATATAACACATTTTTTTAAAATTTTTAAGGTTTATTTATTTGTTTGAGAGAGACAGAGACAGCATGAGTGGGGGAGGGGTAGAGAGAGAGGGAGAGAGAGAGAATCCCAAGCAAGCTCTGCACTGCCAGTGTAGAGCCTGATGAAAAAACCATGAGATCATGACCTGAGCTGAAACCAAGAGCCAGACTCTTAACCTACTGAGCCACGCAGGCCCCAACATAACATAATTTTTAAGTGTTTAATAATACAATTTACAAATAAGTTTGTAAAACTACTTCAAATAAAATATAGATACTTCTGTTTTGTTTTAAAAACAGCCTTGGGATGCAAAGGATATATAAATTGCACCCCAGGCGGGGCGACTGGCTGGCTTAGTCTGTAGAGCATGTGACTCTTGATATCAGGGTCTTGAGTTCACGCCCCATGTTGGGTGTAAAGCTGACTTTCAAAAAAAAAAAAAAAATTGCTTGCAAGGAAGTGTGATTTGCCTCCCACATCCCAGAATGTGCTTCACACCTGACATTTGAAGTGTGAAGTTAGGGGGTTTCTAGAGCTTACGCTTCCTTCTAGCTTCTCTCCACCAAACTATTGTTGCAACCATTGTGTAGGACCACGTCTGTGTGAATGTGTAGGTTTTTTCTTTTTAGTTCCTCATATGAGGTTTGCAGTTGCTGCTCCTTCGGGAGGCAAACTTGTAAACCCACTTAGGCACGACTAGAAATCCTGATAGCTGGCCCTTTAAAACCAATTTGCAATGAAAAGGATCGAGCAGTTACTGAGCCCTGCAATCTGAAGCCAACTAAAGCTACAGTGCCATCTAGTGATAATTTAGCTTAACATCAGCCAGGTGTGTCAGCTAAATGGCGAAAGAAACCAAACCTGCGACTGTGACATAGGCTTAATTCTGTGTAAAGAGCGGATTCTCATTCACAAGGTTACCATATACTGGCACACTCGTTCAGTTGGAAAATACGGTGGAAACACTTATCACCGATAATAGTTAAATCCTAAAGTTTAAGGAAGATTTGGTTTCATCCCACGACATTCTCTGCCTGCCTTTCTCCCTCATTCTCACTGCTGTCTCCTTTTCTCCTGCTTTCTCCCTCTCTTCCTGCCTCTCCCTCTCTCTTCCGCCATCTATCTCCCTCTCTTTCCCTCTCAGTGTCCCTTCTCTCTCTCTCTCTCTCTCTCTCACACACACACACACACACACACACCACAACCAGTCCACCACCAATTCCAAAAGACTTTGCCTTCAAAATATACCCAGAATCAGGGGCACCTGGCTGCCTCAGCAGTTAAGCCTCCAACTTCAGCTCAGGTCATGATCTTGCCAGTTCATGAATTCAAGATCAGCGATGGGCAGGATGCTGACCAGGCTGAACTCCAGGCCCAGAGTCTGGAGCCTGCTTCAGATTCTGTGTCTCCCTCTCTCTGCCCACTCCCACCCCCAACACACACACACACACACACACACACACACACACACACTGTGTGTGTATGTCTCTCAAAAATAAAAATTTTTTTACATTTTAAATAAATAAATATTTAAAAATATGCCCAGAATCTGGCCACTTCTCACCACCTGCACTGCTTCTCTCTACTACAAGCCACCATCACCTGTCGCCTAGAATATTGCAATAGCCTCCTAACCTCTCCATTTCCACCCTTGCTCCTTGTGGTCTGTTCCCAGCAGAAAAGCCAGAGGGATCTTCTGAAAAGAAAGTGAGGTCATGTCCATGCCCCCCCTGAATGCCCTCCGGTAGCACCGCACCCACTGCGCCTCCCCCTCACACAAGCCGGGCCCCTTCTCTGACTTCCGCTCCTACAGCCTGTCCCCTTCTACACCTTTTCAAACATGCCAGACCCACCGTCTTGCTGTTTTCAAATATATTTGCTGTTTACTGCTTCAGGGTCTTTACACTCGCTATACCGCCAACCATGGACCCTCAGACCATGAGCACAACTAACACTTTAGTTGTCAAATGCTTTTTCTATATCAATTAAGATGATTGATTTTCCCCCCTCATCCTGTTAATGTGATATATTACATTGATCAATTTTTGTATGTTGAAGCTTTCCGGCAATGACTACCTGCCCGGGCGAACATGTTCCTCATGCAGGACCTCCCACACCCGTCCCCGGAAGAGGAGAGAAAGCACAAGAAGGAACACCTGGTGCAGAGCCCCAACTCCTACTTCATGGACGGTGGTTTTGTGCGTGGGCTGCTCCACTGTCCTGTGCCAGCCCACAGGAGGAACAGCGAAGCTTACAGAAGGATGCTCCTTCAGGACCAAAATCACCCTGAATCAATATGGGAACCATTGGGAAACTATCCCAATAAACAGATTTTAGATTTAAAAAAATTTTTTTGTATGTTGGATCATCCTTGTGTTCCAGAGATAAATCATGCTTAGTCCAGTATGATCC